GGCTTCGGTGTTGACGTCGTTCTCGCCGTCTTCGTTTTTGGTGTAAAGAATTCCGCGTCGTCACTGTCACCGTCGTCGTCGGTGAGTGCGTCCTCTTCGTCGGCAGTATTTCGGCTCTCGTCGTCGTTTTCTCCTTCGGAATCATCGTCATGTTGGCTGTTGTCCTTCACCTCGCCTTTGGTGACACGAACACCATCATCGTCTGCCTTTTCTTCCTCGATAGCAGTCATCGTCGCGTCATGATCGATGATCCGCTTCGCCATAGCCTTTTTATTGCCGGTGCTCGGCAATCCTCGTTTTTCGCACTCTCGCATGATTCCGACCTTCGTGAACGTCTCACATAATAGGTCTATTTGTTCCGCCATCTTGAATGCGATTTGCGTCGTACTTCTTGTGATTAATTTAAGCGAAATTAAATCACATCGCGTTCACTGTCTCAACAACTCTCCTTCCCGGACGAGCCCCCATGTAAGACGGAAGGGTTTAGAGTTGAGAGAATATCGGAAAAAGTAACTTTATTATCAAATTAATTAATACAACGCGCACACGCGAGACACTTTGTGTAACGGTTGGGTGAGAACTGAATTTTTCGCAAGTTACACCGAGGGGCTACTCGATCTTCCCACATACATGTATACAATCTGAAGAGAAATCCAAAGAAGCTCAGACTACAATTCCAAGGTAATGCAGAGGAGAACTCCAAGAAAATTCTGAAGGGAATCTGGGAATTTTGAGGACAACACCAAAGGAGTTTTCAAGAAAATTCAAGCTATTTCCGGGGAGAATACCGGGAGAATCCAATTATGATATTAGTTACTGTCCTGGTGGTAAATTTAGAGCTGGTTACACACTGATTTGTTATATGCGCACGCCCTGGCCACCCCAAAGCCATGCGTCCCCATTCAGGAGCGCCCTTAATTATAATATAAGAACTTATTTATACCTGCATGTACATACAATTCAGTTCTACCAAACTGACACTCACATATGACTAAAACATGCCTGCATTCAGCTAGCCATAAAACTATCTGGGACGTAGTTCTCGGAACTGTGCTGAAGTTCACGTAACTGCCCTAACATTATGTAAACAATTGTGAAATTCTCTAGATTCTCTTACATTATCTGGACTTTCTTGACGTTCACTGGAAGGCCTTCAAACTTCATAGAAGCTATACAATTTCCTGAAGTTAATGGGAAGTGCTGTTAATTTTCATATCATTCAATTGAAGATTAGCCAATACAACCATCCAATAAATTGTATGAAAACAAATTCTCTCATGCCGATCATTTGAAGAGCCCTTTTCTCAATTGAACCTCATCGTCACAGTAAATGAGTGACTCACTATCATTTGAGAGCAAATTTTCATTATGTCGAAAGTTACATTCGCACCGATCCGAGAAAAATAAAGTTTTGTATTGATGACCGAAAAGTTATTCCTATTTCCAATTGAACACATATAATCTCATAGTGGTAGCAATGTTTAACATATTGAGCAGGGTTTTAATCATACAAAGCAGATCGCCAGCTTTAATTTAAAAAAATACTGGTTTTTGAGTCATAAGTTATTATACGTCGTTTGGTGGCCCCCTCAAGTTCCCTAATTTAAATGGTATTGTTTGTGTAAAGTCATCTATATGTGCAACTGCCCTACCCACTGTTCCACTACAATATACAAAACAAATAAACAATACAACAGTATCTCGTATGCCTCCGCCATGGCAGGACGGCAAAGCAATCGGTGTTGTTTATAATTAATCAATCCGTATCACAAAAACACAACGTAGGGATCCCGCCCCACAGTGGTTGAAATCGGCATTTTCGTGCGCTTAATTAATAGCTCCTTTATCAAGAAATTAAGAGATATGGTGTCTTCAGAGAAGTGTTTCAGTATGTTACTGCGCTTCTTCAAATACTGCAATGCGGTAATGTACAATATTGTGTATTTTGTTATTATCTACAACTTACTAGAACATAGCAAAGCCGTAAAAATGTAGACCAAAAAGTTATGATGAGAAAACCATTTTTGAGGGACTGTCGGCAATAAACGTCACATATCTTGAAAAGTAAAACATATATTAATTAAACATATTCAGCAAAGTTCTTTCAAAAGAAATTTTCTACAACTTTGTTGAAGCCACCAACACTGTATCTTGAATAGTTGAAAAAATAAATTTTCGATCTCACTTTTAGGGGGATTAATCTTTTAACTAAAAAAATCAAAAGAAGCGCAGTAACATATTGAAACACTTCTCTGAAGACACCATATCTCTTAATTTCATGATAAAGGAGCTATTAACTAAGCCCACAAAAATGCCGATTTCAACCACTGTGCGCCCGTGCGCGATCAGGTATTTATCAGGATATTCGGGAGAATTATCAATCACGTATGCTTATGTGCAGCCCATTCATCATTTTAGGACCACCGAAATCATCTTAGCAACAAACAGTTCGATTTATTCACTTTAATAATGAGAAAGCGAAACGACGAACGTACACTTTTCACGGGTTTCTCTGCGCTGTTACTTAAGACAAACGACATCTCCATAGAAATCAGGTGACTTAAGTATCATCGAAAAATCTTTTGATCGGAGGGTGATTACGTCAAAAATGGGATGTGATCCTATATTCGGACAGTATATAGGGTAATAGCAGGAGTATCGATTGACACTGATAGCTCGACTTTGTTTACCTTTGTTATTTTCGACGTAATGCGGAAACGACCGTGCAAAAACTATTTTATTATGGGCGACGCAGTCGACTGTCAAAATACAAGAAAATAGATTCCCTGTTGTAAAAATTCTCACGTTTCTATACGTTCGCCCGACCAATCAGGCGCTAGTTCACGTTTGACAGAAAATTAGTTCATTTAAGTCCCCCTATTGTCTCTTCTTCCTCTTAGGATTTGATTGCGACAGTGGAGTAAGGCAGAAACCCAGCAAAATGGTCCCAAACAGACAAGGCGACCCGATGTCGCATCAATGTAAGGCAAATGTAATGTCAATGTCAACACAATATCAGGATGGCTTAGCTTTTTCGCCGGAATGTTGACCAGAGCTCCGTTTGTGTGTTGGTTACACTCGTTCCTCAAATGAGAATGTTCAATGCCTTCATCAAATAACTAAGCAAACTGATATCACCTATTCGAAGGAAGTCCCTTTGGCAGCGGATAGCTGCTTTTCTCATTTTCATCAAAAAGTTTCAATTGATTTTGATAATTTACAGCACTGAATGGGACTGCCTTGAAATTATTCCGAAGTTTTCGATGCTCAAAGTACTTCCTTTGAAATCTTTAAATTTCCCTGAACTTATCTGGACTTTCTTAAAGTTCCCTCAATTTCCCTAACGATCATCTCTGAAGCTGCCCGCAATGTTTCTGGAATTCTAGAAACGTTCTGAATTCCTAAAAATTTCCAAGTTTTTCAAACTTCTTTATTTTTTTTTGTAATTTCCCTAAAATTAATCGAACCATAGTAAGGTTCTCTGATCTTCCCTGAAGTTCTCGGAACTTCTCCAAGATTCTTGAAATTCTCTCCAAGATTCTTTTAAAATTTCTGGACTTCGATGAAGTTCCCAAAAGCCAAAATTCTGATGTTTTTTAAACATCTCTGAAGTTCTCTGGATTTCTTGAAAATCTGGGAACTTCCTAAAATTTTCCGCTATTAAGAGATAGATGAATTAATAGATAGATGAATTAATAGCTTTGCAATGATCTTCCGTGACGTTCATTTCAATTCTCGAAACAGCTCGAAAGCATACGGAACTCGATTTCTCCAAATTTTCTTGAAGCTCATGAAACCGCCATAAAATTATGGAAACAAATTCATCATCATTTTAGAGTTTCCCCAATAGTGTCTTTCCTGAAGTTAAATGTACTTTTCTTATGTTATTGGGACTAACAGACAAATTTCTGAATGTCTCTTAAATTCTCTAGACTTCCCCTTCCCTGACAAGAATCGGTAGATTTTAAAAGTCAAGTTTGCTTGATATTCCTTGAAGTTTCCGTCATTTTTGAAACTTCTTAAAAGCTCACTGATCTTCGCCAAAAAAAATCTATTTTTTCCTGAGCTTCTCTGGACATCCATGGAGTTTCCTGAATTCTAGGAATATCTCATAATTCCTAAGAACCCCATTAAACTTCCTGTAATTTTCCTTAAATTAATGGAACTGCTCTGGAGATTTCTGATCGTCCTTGAATTACTTGGAACTTCCCTGAATATAATGAAACTTCTATAAAATGTCCAAGCGTTTCAGAAGTTTACTAACTGACCTTCGCTGAGGTTCCTGCTATTTTCCAAGTTCTAGAAACTATCATGAAAATCACGGAACTCCCTTAAAATCTACTCACAATTTCTTGATGTTCATGTTTCTTTTCAAAATTCGACACTATAATTCTGGCAGCCACTGGATATTTGTTATGGGAATGGCAACATAAGCAGCAATTAATTCTAACTGCATTTTGGGGTGCAAAAATTGCCCTTTTTGCATACTGAAATCATCTTCGATTGCTTCGAGAAATACATGGTTTCATCAGCTGAGTTGAAAATTACTTAAAATTAATAGGTTTGAGCAAACTATTGCCACGTTATCACTGCTCACCGTATTGATCGTAAGTGTTTTGAGTCGACCAAAATCAAGCATTTTTTATCTTCCAAACTTCAATCCATCATAACACGAGAAAAACGTAAATTGTCACCACGCAAAAGTATCGGAGACAAAAACAAACGCAATGGACAAAATAAACACAACACAGTCGAATATTTTTCGTGCAGAGGAAAACCTCGATTACCTACATACAACAACAACAACAACAACAGTAAAAACACACTCGATTCCATTCGGTGACACTGGCTGCTGCGATCGTCGTCTGTTTTTCTCACCCGTCATCAACGTGCTCACCGTGCCAGCAGTAGGCCAGACACTTTGTCCTCACACACCGCTTCTCAACGGCGGCACGGTCTACTACGATTGAAAATAAAAAATGCACACGGGACCACTTTACCTATTCCCGTTCTCGCGCAACAACACTGTTTTCGTTCCTTATTCTTCTTCTTCTTCTTCTTCTTCTCGTTCCTCTTCCCAAAGGTCTTCTTCGGTAGGATTTCTGCAATTCTTACCCGAAGTTTTCACTCCGTTGCTGATATTTTCTTGAATATCTTGCACACTTAAGTATCGGTTTCACTTTGCACACTTACTCCGATCGGGGTCTTGCGTTTGTTCGTTCAATCGAGGAGTTCATTTCTGTTAGGAAAAGCGTAAAAATTAAAGTTTTTCGCAGAGAAAAAGCTTGTCGATCATCAGCAACATCAACGCTTCTTCTAGTATCATTTCGAATCACTGTATTTACACTGTCGATGATGATATGCCATAAAAATATTAAATGCAATCAAGTCGCCCCGCCGTACTGCTGCTGTGAGAGAGAATTGAACCGGTTATGCTAATTTCGCAGCGGAAAATTAAAACTCGGACAGAAACCGAAAACTGAAAGATTCTAAGCAATCGCGACCGCGGCTCGGTGGAAACTGGCTACGCACCCTCGGTCCAACACTGAACTGCACTCATATTTGGTTTTCCGATGAAAGGAAAAATTACCCACACCCCAACAGCAGCCACGGACGGTGTGATCGTGTGATAGCGCTCGCACTCACTCCCGATGAAAATGAGAAAATGATCACCAACCCTCACGACTACATACGATCACGGGGAACGCACTAGATTTTCCTTGCCAACCGTTGTGTGTGGATCGAACGCGGCACGTGGTGTGGTGACTTTTTTTTCCTAGAGCGCCTGCCTTGATCGCGCGCGAGTTTTGCACACAAACACACACACACTATGTTGCAGTGTAAATGCGGGGGCAGGACACGTGCAGGTGGTAGCCACGGGAGACCACTTTTTTTCGGGATTCAAAAACACGTCTGCACATCGCCACCATTCTCGATCGACTGACTGACATCGGGAAAACCGTGTGAAAAGCGACCGACCAGGGCAAACAGTTTCATTAGGCACGATCGTGCGGATCAGTGTGAACCGTGATGATGGTTGGTCCTAAGTGAGACAGATGAGATTTCAGCGAAGGTAAAGTTCGTGCAGAGTTGACAGGTAAGTCGCTTTTGGGAGGGGGGGGGGAAGAAGATGGAATTTAGCTTGTAGGGGACCATGCGTCTGCATGGGAAATTAGTTATGTGTTGGTGAGCAGGGGTTGGATTGTTGGGTGAAGTTGATCGTCCAATTACCACATAAACATATTGAATGTTTTGATATTCAATACACCTTGTAAAATGGTATTACTGGATGCATTGTGATAATGCTTCTAAAGAAGATTCCAAAAGAAGCCAAAGATCACACATTAAAAAGTTTTGAATATTACTTGCTCATAATATAGCTTTGAAATCATAAGTAAGCTATGCGTTGTCATACAACATTTGACATATTTTGACATACATGAATCGTTACTACTTAGCAAACAGTGTTTGGAAAATCAAAGGAGGACAAACTCGCGGTCGAATCTAGCAAACAAATCTCATGTAATCAAAACGTTTTGATCCTTGAAAACAACGCGGATGAAGAAAATAGGCCTACTGTGTCAGGATCTGTCATGATTACCAGAGTTTTGTCAAAAAATCGTAAATATTCACACTGTATGCAACGAAGAATTCTCATGCTTTTTATAAATACGCACTCACACTCACAACGTCGAAAAATCATTCTAGCTTGAAAATCCGCTGTAACGCCAATTGATAGCATGCTTATGCATGTTGTGTTAGTTTTTCATCCACTGATGTAAAAACAACCCTTATAACAATAAATAACGTTAAAATATAAAGCACTGAATTTTTGATCCTGAAAACTCATCGGTGATTTTTGCCCAGTTCAATTTTGAAAGGCAAAACTCATAGACGAATAAACTCAGACATGAGATTTAAGATTTGAGTTTTTCTAACAAGATCTACAATGCAAAGCTGTGTAATATGTGACGTATTGTTCAGAATGCACATTACGTAACATAAAGTCAATCAAGTTGTATTAATACTGTTACAGGCTCCAATAACAGACTGGTTATTGGTTAACTAGGTCTATATACTTCGGAGGTATGAACATTAATCAATGTAGAGAATAGTTGTGTCAAACAGCTTGATGATTCATAGGCTTCTAAGATATTTCATGTGGTTACTATGGAACATCTCGTAAGGTAATAGCCATGATGGAAGCCTTCGGTTCCGAATACGATGATGAGTAGGTACTGGCACAATGTCTTCAACAAGGTCCTCAGGTGCTGGTATCTCATCGTCTTCAGGTGGGACCACCTTGTTGTACTTCTCCAGGATCGGTAATATCATCAGGTTGCATGTTGAACTCTTCAAACCGCACGGTCCATGGTAGATGATCACTTGGCGCAGTAGCTTTGTCAGCGTCTTCCAGATAACAATGCCTTAGTTGGTTAGTGTGAGAGCGGATAAGACGACCGTTCTCCAGAAGGACAATGTAATTGACGGAACCTTTTCTCTCGATTACCTTTCCAGAAAGCCAGGATGTTTCGTTATGATGATGAATCTCTGCATACACCAAATCATCAGCGAAAAATTATCTCTTGACGGTGCCATGGCGTCGGTTGAATTGCTTGTTCTGCTTGCTATTTACAACTGGTGTCGTTGATTCACAAGGCTTGAGCAAATCTAGGGTTGTAGTGCTAGGCCTACCTAGGAACAGCTCCGCAGGTGATTTGCCATCAGGTGCACTTTGGTTGGACGTCGACCAGTATACGGAAAGAAATGTTTGAAGATGTTGAAAAGTTGCCGTGTTTCCTCCTTCTCGTAACTTATTTAGTCCTCGTTTCAGTGTGTCTACAAAACGCTCAGCCTGTCCATTGGACTGAGGATGGTATGGAGCAATTGTTAGGTGCCTGATTCCATTTTCATCAAAAAATTACTTGAAGCGAGTGCTAAAAAATTGCGTTCCATTGTCCGACACGAAGATTTTGGGAGCATACAGCATCTTCAATGTCACCGATGTGATAGTCATTAGTGTGATGTGGCCATTTTCAAAACGCTTCGATCATCAGGAAGTAGTAGAAACCTTCAATCGGACCAGGATAAGCTATGTGGACTCTATCCCATGGCTTTGATGTAATGGACCACGATTCCAGGTCGGTTTTGCGTGGTGATTTAGTTCACCCAAAGTGAAAGCTAAATCTATTGTCTTATTGTCAAATTTACGTCAACGCAACATAAACGGATCTAATGTGGGTGGCCCTTAGGAGCGTGTGATAGAAAACATGAACATGAATGGCAGCAAACCTCACTCTCATTGTATCCCCCTTCGCTCACAAGCTCAGTGGAATGATTTGGCAGAAGACATTCTACTCCTCAGAACAATGCTACACTGAAACAAATCAACATGTACCGTTTATTGGATCCATCTTATAACATAGTACACAGCAAAAAAATAATTTTGATATCACATCAAAGTGGATGCACTACAATCATGTCGAAAATTTCATGTAATTTTTATGACCACATAAATAAACAAACGCAGTAAAAGCAGCGTAATGTCAGTTCATGCATTGTATTAATGATATTTTTGTCCTTTTTAGCAAGTAATATTACACCATATTTTCGACATGATTGTAGTGCATACACTTTGACGTGATATCAAAATTATTTTTTTGCTGTGTAATGTCAGCAGATTTATTCATTCTATGTGATGATTGATAAATTACATTGGATTATTACTTAAAAACTATGACTGCGATATGGAATGATTTCTATCGTAATTTCACATACTTAGTACTCGATAAAACTTTGCTTCGAACGTGGTTAGCGATAGGTAAGACGTATTTGAATATTGTCTAATATATTTCATCGTGAAAAACTGTTGATATGTCATAGGTGGGAACAGACATCTAGAAACTAATGGAAAATCACATAAGTTTGCACTATGAGACAATTCAGTTAAATATACCTGTTTTCATGGTGAATATTGCTCACTAAAAGATACATCTTATAAGATAATCATGTTTATTTTATTGGAGATGCTTTTAACGATTTTTGACGTTTGTTGATATGTCACGTGTAAACAGACATGTAGAAACTATTGGACAGTCATTTAACTTTGCAGTATAGGAAAACATGTATATCTTATTGTAATAGCTTCCTTTGATTTTTGACGTTTAAAGATTGTAAACAGATCTATATCAATCATTATATAATCATATAGATTTGCCTTTTAAGAAATCCAATAGCATACATTTGTTTTGACGTGGTTTTCTGAGATGAATATCGATCTCAATAAAATACTTCTTACATGATTGTTCTTCATAAATTATTGAAACAATTTTCAACGATGTTATCGTACACTCATTAAAATGCTTAGTCGAACTAAATATAGCTAACAACAATGATACTGTATTGAATAATCCTTGTTTGTTATTGTTCCATAAGATAAGGGGTTCCGGAAAAGAATGTATTGAGATTGAAAAAAAAAATGATTCTACTACAATATTTACTTTGCTAAGATTCTAATTGTAATCCTTCTACACACACTTAGAAATTATCGCCGTCTTCGGTAATTTTTACCGAAATCTGAACAGCTGAACTGTTTGGTAAAAGCTACTTTGAAACTAAATCTCTACTAAATGACAAGATTTGATCATTTAAATAAGGTTGAACATGTTTTGAAACTAATTCAATCAAATTCAATTGCCTTTAAAATGAAGGTCAAAGTTTTAACGAATGTTCAGTTGTTGTAAAATTTACCGAACATGGAAACAAAATCTTAGTGTGCACGGCTAATTCAGATTCCAGCACTAGTACTCGAACTTCCATGAACTCATATAATGTAGTCGTTGTTTTATTGCACACAGGAGCATTAAGAAAGATTTGAATACACGACACCACCGAAACGGAGCATAAATTTGTTCACTCCAGCAAAACGAGCATAACGTTGCACTTCATTCCATGTCGGGAGAGCTGTTCTTACTTCACTCTAATCTTGAAGTCAGCCGTGGCCCAGTGGAATCGAGCGCAGACACCGAAAGCATCACACCTCAACAGTTCTTGATCGAATCCCAAATCAGCTACAATAAAAAAAAGACACAACTGTGAAAGCTCCCACTGCCTGATGTTTATTTTTCGATTTATTTTTAGAAATCGATTAAATATATGTGTCAAAAGAAGAAGTAAATTTCATGTGATTTTCACATAAAATTTACTTCGATTGATTTATGACACATATATTATATTGTGGTGAAAAGTAAAGCTTATGCTTATAGGTTTCAAATCCATTTCAGTTAATTATTATAATTTGACCGATTTTCATTTATCATATGACGATCATATAAAAGTTACCAAATTATCAGCATTGTAAATGAATTAGATATTCATATAGAATTGACCTGACACATTTTCAATCATATCATTTTCATTGGATTATCTTATAGCGCAAATTCATTAGACTTCCACATAACAGGAATATGTCATATTGGTTCAGTGTACGCTCGGCTCATTTCAAACTCGCGAGTGAGGCTCCATCAAGCCTGCTTACAGTACCGTTCAAAACCTTCAACGTTGCTATCAATGCTAGGCC